ACTTTTGCGGCTGTCAAGCGGATTGAACGGACATGCCAATGGAAACACGCCTCAATCAAATGTGTGTATGGCGGGCACATTTGTTGCCGCATTTGTGGCTGAATGGGAGAAACCCTTTGGTTTAGGACTAGGCCCAAACAAACAAATCTTGGCTGTCACGGCGCCTCAGTTGGGGCATTCAATTGCGAAATGAATGCGAATACGCCTCGTACTGGATGTGAGTGTGGAATCTCTCACGTTGCTGGGCAGAGGAGCGGTGAGCGGTGGGCGGTGGGCAGCGTGTTGCGGATATGAAACATATCTCCGGTTAGCAGGCAGGACATTTCCGTTCAGTCTCCTGCACTGCCCTGCAACTCCCGCCCCCTTGTGGCAGTGCCATTGAGCTGTCATAAATCCCATGCTCGAGTGTTGGGATTTGCGGCAGGATATTGCCCAGAAGGATGCGCGCTGCTGCCCGCTCAACTGTGTAACAATTTGATGGGCATTTGAATGCAGGCTCATGTCATTTAGTGGCCACAAAGAAAACCCGGGCAGGAGGCAGCCAACCATACAACCAACCAACCCGCACCCGCACCCGCATTCAGGCGCGAGCAACTGCCGCTGAGGCTGAGGCAAACATTTCAATTGAGTGCCCCAAAGTGAGACACCTGACACTTAAGCGCCAGGGCCAGGGCTAGAGGCAGGGTAGGAGCAGAAGCTGAAGCAGGACCACGAGCCAGGATGAACATCGAACATCGAACGCGTTCGCCTGACAAATGAGACAAAGTGACACAAGTCAATCAAAGGCCACGAAAATGCTCATCTCTCGCTCATCCATTGCGCCGCATATAAATTCCATTCGATTGGCCTCTCTCGCCCAATTTACTGGCCCCACCACCTCCTGTCTCCCTCCCCCAGCAGCCTCACTGGCCGGCTCGGGTACGGGTACGGGCCCCTTGGGGCCGAAATGTATTTAAATGAATTCCGTCAGCGTCGGCCCCAAAGCAAACCAAAGTGATGGACGCATTTAAAATGTCAATACGCATCCAGCTCAGCCACAGCCAGCCACAGCCAACTCAAACGCAAAATTCAGACAGAGACCCAGACCCATCCAAGAAGCAGAAAGAGATCCAAGAGGCAGCGGGACAGGTCGGCTGGCCGGCCGGCGCGTAAGCTTGAAGTCATTGAAGTGGCGGAGACAATGAATCCTGTCAAATCAAAGTAACGCAACGAGGCTCAGCCTGGCGTGGCATAAGGCGCGCGAAAGGCAGCCACGGCACGGCAGATACCTCGATAATGCCCCCCAAACCAGGGCAGGGGCATGGCCATGGGGCAGGTCCCTTCCACTGGCAAGTGGTGGGTCAGACGCAACCACTCAGCTTGCCAAATCCATTAGAGTTAAATAAATTTTGATTTTGAATTCAATTTGCGAGGTAACTAGGTAGAGTTTCGCTCTGCTCTGCTCCAGCCAGCGGGTGGATTGAAAACTTTGTCGCTTAAAAACGAGCAAATTGGGGAGACTGGGCAGACCGAAACTTGGGGTAGATTCTGCGATTAGTTTGCGGTGAAACGAATCCTTTTCCTGCGCCTTGCTCTGAGGCAACCCTCGAAAGGTATTCCGTTTCCCAGGGCCCATTATTTTGCAGCTCAGCGATTCAAAAGTTCATGGCATTCATCGTGTCCAGGCAGTGGCGTTGTTAATATGCATAGAAGAGGGGCAGCAGATTATATATCAGATTATTCCATACTTCGAACTGAGCCAGAGAAGCTAAGAGTTCTGATTTTCTGCTCCTGCTTGCATCGATGATCATAAAACACTTACAGTGCCCCCTGCCACAAGCAGCCCCTGGCTAGCATCTCATGACCAAGCGGGAGAGCAGAAGAGGCGGCGGAGCTGGCGACAAGTGATGAGTGAATGCAAAGAATTTGAATATTGTGCCGCGGCGGCAGTTGACATAAATCGTCAATGACAGCAACATCGCCTCCTTTGGCCTTAAACACGCAAACAGACCAGGCCAGAACAGAACAGGCCAGACCAAGCAGGGGATTCGGCTGGTACAGGGAACTGGGACCTGGGACCTGGCACTGGTGGACTTGGAGCGGCGGCAATCAACGGAGTCCATAGAACACGACAGACAACTGTAATCCGCGCCATTGTACACAATGCTGTGTATTGAGGATGATTGCTCGCGGGTCCGTTTTGGGGCTGTCAGCGAGAGCCTTTCAAAATCAATTCTAATCGATTTAGGACACTTTGACAGCGTTTATTGGCAGCATGCGCGTGGCCGCCGCGATACCAACAACACCTTCCTCCAAAATGTCGCCGTCTCTGGCCAAGCGACAGACGACAGACGACGACGACTACGACGACGACCCAGCGAAATGTCAACCACATTTTGGCTTAAACGGCCACAAAAAAAAAAGGAGAAACAAAACTAAAAATAAACAAAAAAAAAGAAGAGTCGCAAGAGCAAGAGAGAGGGAGGGCGAGAGGAAACAAGAACAAGGCTGCGGCAGCATTATCATTATCTCAATGGAAGCTGATTGAAAACAGATAATTAAAATCTTCTAATTAGGCGGCATGTTCACGCACACACACACACACACACACTGATACAGTGTGCGTGTGTGTGTTACCTTAACCACTGTCGGCTGTCAGCGAAAACAAGTTCATAAATCTTGCATCCAACAAATCGTTTTGCAACATGAAAGAACATTACACATAAGAAGGAGCCAGCCAGCCAGCCAGCCAGCCAGCCAGCCCGACAGCCACCAACAAAAGACCGACGACAAAAAAAAACAAAAACTAAATATCTGCAAACTTTCCCAGCTGGGGGGAGATGCGGGCTGGTTGGCGTTGGCGTGTGTGTGACAATGTTGCGGCGGCCAAATTATGGCTGGGAAGCTTGTTGGATCTGGACCATAACTGGTGGGCGGCAAAGGGACAGAGTATTTGCCATTAGGATCAGCTTGATCAGACATTGTTATAGGTATTCGTGTTCCTTAGTAGCCAAGTAGCCTTAGGGACAAGAAAACGGATCTATATTTTATCTAGACGCTACGTGGCTATTGCCATATTTTTATTAATGCTGCTCTTTCACGAGCACTTACAAAATATTTTAAATGCAATTTTTCATCAATGAATACTGAATACTGCTTCAAAGGTTTCAACCTATGACAATAGGACCGTGACAAAAAATATGTATTCCGACTGGATGGGAGTCATTTCGGATGGTAGCAGCAAATCATCCTCATTCCCAAATGATTTGTGTTTCGACTCCTTCTCAAGACGAACAATCTAACTTTTAAGTAGCAAAAACAGCTGATTTGTTTGATTGTTTCCAAGCATTAAAATTTCCGTAATTACAAGAAATTTCCAAGCCGACACAGTTTCAAAATTGGCGCCCAATTCCCACCGCGCTGCCAACTCTCGCAACAGCAACAGCGACAGCGCCACTGGCGGCAATAAATGGAACCCAATAGCAACCAACAGCGCCATCTGTGCTTCGTTTTACCAGCAGAAAAATGACGAATTGGCGAAGAAGAAGAGTGCGCGCGCGGATGTGTCACTGGCCGAGGAACCGGCCGGGGAACCACCCAACTGCCCGTCTCTGGGCGGTACTCGACGAAGCGAGTATCGTTCTCGGCGCGACGCAGATGTCCCTCCCAATTCATTTCGATCAGACGCTGCGCATCCTGGGTCTTGTCCACGGGCCATACCTGCTCGAGGGTGACTTGTGCCTCACGATTCAGGCCTTGGTTGATAGGCGGCCTCTTCTCATCGTTAGGATAAATGATGATCCCCTTGTTAAGCAAGTAAACTGCAGAGAGAGAGCGAGAATAGTTCTTGGCGAATGATGCTTGTCTGGCCTGGCTCCTCCCAATCACTTCCAACTCATCAATTCAGTCCAGCCACGTCCATTTCCATGGCAAAGAGCACAGTGCCATAGCCCTCGCGTCCAATTGTGAAATTGGGCACCACACAGGACCCATCCTCGGCAGGTAGGAATTGAGATCATCAGCGAGGGTATCGTGTAGTAGCCCACGCGTCGCAACACTATCCCTGTGGGATGTGGCGCATAGTCTGACGCCCCATAGCGCCTCGCTGCTGCCTCAATGGCCAGTCTGGAGCGATTCACTACAGTCTGCTGCTGCGATGCGAAGGTATCCCGCTTGGCAATGGCGCTGGCTTGCGACTTATCCGTATCCTGCAGATGTTGGTCTCTGCTGTCCCTGGAAGAGAAACCGCTGCTGCTGCTAGCTCACCGTCTCTGGGAAAATGGACTTTTAGTGGGGACGTCCCAAACCGCTTGGAGCCTGTGGGGACTTGTTGTTCACCGAAGATTTGGAGTTTGGATATGGCGGCCTTGTCCTTTTTTTCTCTTTGTTTTCCTGTTGGTGAACCAGGTATAGAACCTATCACACCACTTTCCCTTCTCAGCGGAAAAACCCTTCGCATGTTGGCTTCTAAATATCTGGCGTCTCCCAGCGTCATGTGAATGTTATTATGTACAAAGTACTCTCCCACAAAGTTACGAGCTTCCTCTGTTCGTCGCTTTGAGCATTACGTTTTTGCGCTTCTTTTTTAGCAGCGCCTGGCCCGCATTTCCACTGTTTATGAGGATGCCGTACACGTTTATAACCGTAGTCACTGTGGACGGGCATGATGCGGCGTCCTGTTGCGAAATGTGGTCGGCCTCATCCGAATCTACACTGCTCGACGTCACATCGAAGTTGTCGTCGCTACTTACATTCTTGATTACGGTGACTGGCACCGGAACGTAATCATGGTCATGCTCAACATGGTCGTTACCTGTGGCGGCGGCCTGGTCATCCAGCCAAGACTTAACGTATCTCCTTTTACTCATTATTACAGCTGTTGGTGTGTCGCGTCCACATATGAGATATGAGATGAGATAGTTATGGCTACAGTTATAAAAGTCCCTTCTTTGAATCTTAATATGTAAATAATCCAATAAAAAGGACTTCTGGAAACTTGCCAATCTTGTAGAAAATTTATGTATCTATCGGATAAAATTATTTATTTAGGGCTGAGAGGGCCAACTAGCTAGTAATATTAAACTAGAGGACACAACAACACAAGGACAAGATAGATAGCCATTGCCTGAAGACGGTGGAGACTAGCAGGGCTGGAGCCCGTATTCTCTGTATTGCCAAGTATCATCCTGCCAGCAGAAACACGTTTATTAATGATTATTGCTCATCCATCAAACACTGGCCACATTGGCTATTATTTTCTGATATATCTGCACCCCCTTCAGATACGTTTCTGCGTGCAGGAACTCGTCGTGGTCATGGAGCAGAACCGGAGTGTGGCTCATGGGAGAGAAACCCAAAGCCGGAATGCCAGCTTTGCGCAGATATCGAGCGTCGGTGCCGCCAGGAAAGACTTGCAGCTTGATTTCCAGGCCACTGAAAAGACAGCAAAATCAAAACCGCCCGAACTTCATCAAAGGAAAACTTACAGGTGATCTGTGGCACCCTTGAAAGCCACCCAGAAGGGATTCGTTTCGTCCGTGGCAGTGGGCGGAATGTGTCCCCGCTTCTGCTCGTACTCCACCTCGATTCCCCCACCCGCCTCGTCGGCCCATTTATGAAGCTGTGGAACGAGGCTATAAATATATATGGAAAATCGTTGAGCAGATAACCTACATGGGCATCAAACTCGTGAATCTCAATGTCAAGCGCCAGGCGGCAGTCGAAGAAGGCAGTCAGCAGCGGCGGCACCACATTGCTCTGCACTCCACCCACCAGTCGGGTCAGGTTAATGGTCGTCACATCGCCAATGGAGAGCTCCGGGCTGTTTGCGAGCCTTTCACATTGTACCTTGCGGAATGCCATTATCTTTCCCAGAATGTAGCTAAATTTTTCCCCGGCAGTGTCTGGCAACAGGAGCGAACCGTGTCCGGCTGTGCCGCTTATTTTGAAGAACACATCTGAGGGCAGAGCACGAGCAGAGACTTAGTCATATGAAAAGAGGAAACTCGCATCATTCGCCTCACTGTCCGTTCGGCATAGAAGACGGGAATCTCAGATGTGGGCGAGGCGATGCCTTCATCCAAGCCAAATCCCACGTTCAGGGCACGGAATTCCTTGGAATCGACAAAGGGACGCATGGCCAGTCTGCCTCCCATTTCTTCGTCTGAATAGAAGGTCGTTTGATCAGAGGAACGTTTCTTAGTCGATCTTAATCGATGCGATGCTTACCGGCCACAAAGGAGATGTGGATGGTTCGCTTGAACTGCGCGCCGCTCTTCCTTAGAGCCCGAATGGCTGCCAGATACTGCATGCCCACGCACTTCATGTCCTGTGTGCCGCGTGCAAAGATGCGACCCTCCTCATCGATCTCTGCGCCGAACGGCGGATGTATCCAGTTCTCGGGGAAGACGGGCACCACATCCATATGCGAGTTGAGCAGCACGCTGGGCAGCTCCGGCTGCAAACCCTTCCAGGTGAGCACAACCACGGGATTCTGCTCATTGGCTGGGTAATAAACTTGAATGGGTAGCTTCAACTGCTTTGCTTGACGTCTCAGAAACTCGACGCATGGCTCTGATGGGACAGAAATGTGATTACCCAGCGATCGAGGTTGGAATTCCAACTACGCACCATAGTTGGGATTGGGATGTACGCTGGGAATGCGGAGATACTCCCGAAAGTATTGCAGCTCCTCGTTGGACTCCCAGTCAGTGGCGCTCATGGCGAATGGTGCAAAGGTTCACTCTTAACTGAGCCACAGAGGCTGCAACGACATTAAACCTTATCTTGGATTATCTCTAGACAGTGATCTAGTTATCTGGGAACAATTTGATCGTAAATCAAGGCGATAGGCAGGTGGTATGTTGGGGTTACAATACTTTTATTATGTGTTCTCTCGTCAGCAACTAATCTACACAAACACACTCCACATTCGCTACGTTGCTGATGATCTTCTGGTAGATCTGCACACCCCTCAGATAGGTGTCCGCCCGCAGGAATTCGTCGTGATCGTGCAGCAGAACGGGCGTATTGTTCATCGGTGAGAAACCCAGAGCCGGTATGCCCACCTGGCGCAGATATCGACTGTCAGTGCCGCCAGTAAAGATTTGCGGCCTGATTGCAAGTCCCCTGAAGAGTATAAAAATTATATATACAGGATGATCCCTGTACGGAGCTGCAGCATTTACTCACAGATTGTCCGTGGCTTTTTTGAATGCCACCCAGAAGCGATTGCTCTCATCGATGGGTGTGGGCAGCACTCGCGGCTGCTTCTGCTCGTAGGTCAGCTCAATGCCTCCACCAGCCTCGGAGCACCATTTTTGAAGCTAAAAGGACAACCACAGACAGTTATAATGTAAGGGAAGTGGACTTAAGCCAAAGGTGGACTTACAGTCGCCTCAAACTCCTGGTGATCCACGTCCAGGGCCAGGCGGCAGTCGAAGCAGACCATCAGCAGCGGCGGCACCACATTGCTCTGGACTCCACCCTCCACTTTGGTCAGGTTAATGGTCGTCACATCGCCAATGCAAAGCTCAGGATTGTTCTCCAGTCGCTGGACCTGCACCTTACGGTACGCCATCATCTTCCCGACGATGTAGTTCAACTTTTCGCCCGCCGTATTGGGCAGCAGCAGGGATCCGTGGCCTGACGTGCCACTGATGTGGAAGTAGACACCTTTGAGGGCAGAATGTCAGTACTAGAGTTCATCAGAATGGGATTATTTGCGCTTACGCCACACACTGCGCTCCGCATAGAATACGGGATACTCCGCGGTGGGCGATGCCAGACCCTCGTCCAATCCAAAGCCCACATTCAGGAGCACGGAAATCGTCGGTGTGCACGAACGGCCGCATGCCCAGTTTGCCTCCCATTTCCTCATCTGAGTGGGAAGTATTTTAGTTATTGGATTACTGGCCATTCAATGGACTCTCACCAGCGACAAAGGAGATGTGGATGGTTCGCTTGAACTGCGCGCCACTCTTCTTTAGAGCCCGAATGGCTGCCAGATACTGCATGCCCACGCACTTCATGTCCTGTGTGCCGCGTGCAAAGATACGTCCCTCCGCATCCATCTCCGCCCCAAAAGGTGGGTGTGTCCAGTTCTCGGGGAAGACGGGCACCACATCCATATGCGAGTTGAGCAGCACGCTGGGCAGCTCCGGCTCCAAACCCTGCCAGGTGAGGACAACCACGGGATTCTGCTCATTCACGGGATAGTACACCTTGATCGGCAGCTCCAACTGCTTCGCTTGGCGCTTGAGAAACTCCAAGCATGGCTCTAAGCAAGCAGCAATAGAGTAAGTGACACACAGGGTGTGGCATCCGCGAAACACTCACCGTAGTTTGGATTGGGATGGACACTGGGTATGCGCAGATACTCCCGAAAGAACTGAATCTCCTCGTCCGATTCCCACTTGCTGGCAGACATTTTCTATGATTATCTAGACTGATTTAAATTTAATGGCCCCCCAAGCGTGTTCCGTATCGTTCGAGAGCTCGGCCACTAGTGACTAGAGCCAGAGATAGCGTCAAACGGGCGATATGGAAACTGCCAGAGGCAGATAATTTTTTGTAATTTAGAATGTAGAACGAGAATTGTATTGTTGTGTTTTTGTCAAACATAACATGTTTAAGTCAATGCCACCAGGAGGGAGGAGATACAGTGGGCACTCGTTCTGGTGTACCAAAATTGTTTATACATTCAAAATAGCATTCAAATTTCTTTACTTTTCCACGCGGTCTACTATAATTGAAGACTTTTTGGATAGCTTTCAGTCTTAGTGGGTTTTTAACTGTACTCCAGTTTATGTATTTGCTCCGACGTCATTATCTGCTTGATCAGCTTGTTATTGCACTGCTTCAACACTGCTGTGGCACTGCTTCAGCACTGCTGTGGAACTGCTTCAGCACTACCTATACTGTACACTGCTTCAACACTACCAAAATCCGTTGAACTGCTTTCACACTGTTGAAATTCAAAATATACTTCATTTATTCATTAAATTTACGATTATTTCATACATTTTGGCATGTAAAACAAAACTTAAGGATTCACTAGAGGACTTATATGCAAAGAATACCAAATCACGATCAGTTCCTTAGGCCTTGCGCTCAAACAGCACGGGGAAGGGCTTGTCCTGCGGCGCCTGCAGCCAGTTATCCTCCGAATACTTGACATTATTCTCAGTCTCGATCACGTGGAACGTGTAGGCATGACGGCTCTTCTGTGAGCGATTCTGTTCGCTCTTGTGCACCACATTGCCGTGGATGAGGATGCAGGTGCCTGTAAAGACCAGAAGATCATTAATATGGGAGACTTCTTGGCAACTTCTTCTGGTCGGTCGTGCTACTCACCCTTGCTGACTTGGATTGGTGCGAAGCTGGACTGCGGATAGATGGGAGCGGCACGATCGTAGACCATCAGTTCAGTGGCATTGGTGTCGGGATTGCGCAAATAGCGCCGATGCACGCCGCTCTTGTGGGAGCCCTTGATGAACTGCAGGCAACCGTTTTGCAGGGTGCAATCTTCGAGCGCCATCCAAAAGCCCACCGCAGAGTTGGGCTCTGTGTGCAGGTACCAGGAGTCCTGGTGGGGAATCACCTCGCCCCCGATACCGGGATTCTTGTAAATGTACATGCTCTGGCACACCGCCGGACGATTGTAGTTGAGCTGCCAACAGATCTCCCTAACCCGATTGCTGAATGTGATCGCATTGAATGTGGGATGCTCCACATGCAGGGCGTGTCCCACTTTGTTCAGCGCAATCATTGGGTCCACCAGCAGCTGCCCCTCCTCGCCAACAGCTCCCTTCTCGAAGAAGTAGCGCACCTTGTCGCCCGAATCCATGAAGTACAGCTCCTTGCTGTGTCCATCCTCGGCCTTGATGGTGCTGAATATCTTTCGATTCGTTTGTGGGGCATCCAGGCACAAAGTCCGTCCCTCCTGGTATAGAGAGTCCACCTCCTCGCCGGTGAGAAAGTCATCGATGACAACGTAGCCATTCTCGTTCAGCTGCAACCGAAGGAGTAGACCAAATTTAGCCCCTAGTTGGCATGGAATAACACCCAAGAAAGCGGGTGAAGGTCCCTCTAAACATAAAATTTAATCTCTGTCCCGGACTCTTATCGCTTGCGCCGTCTCGTCTGGTCCGGTCTGTTCGACTAGGTCCGGTAATGAGGGGGACTTGGGATGTTATCTTCATACATACATACATATGTGACTGATTGACCGACTGTGTAACGGGCACGCGCGCGTCCCCTGCCACCCGTTGACTGCTCCTCTTATCGTATACGAATAAATACTCTTTGTTCGCGTTGCTTCATTGTCTGAACTTTCAACGTTGGCTAATTAGCATATTCTGATGCATGTCAAAATTTTAATGCTGCCCGACAAAACTAGTGGACTGAAATTCGTGCTCATTCATTGAAATCAGTCAACGTTTTTCTAGGCAAATGGGGTATGATGGGCTGGGCTTACCATTCAAATTGGCACCAAAACAATAATGGTATTTGATGAGCAGAATATTGAGAAATTTTGTTTTTATAGCTATATCCATCAGCCACTCAATATTTCAATTGTTTGACAGAAGGGTAAACAAATTTCGGTTTGGTAAACACATTAGAAAGACATATATCATTTTCGTGGTGGGTGCGCTGCTCTCTTTCTCCCTCACAATGTTTGGCTCTTTGGGCGAGTGGGGGGTTAAATTAAATAAATTTAAATTGCTTGAAAATGAAAAACGAGAGTAAAAATAGTCGCCGTGACTCAAACAGAAGAAACAAACGAACGAACAGAGGAACGAGCACACCTGCGTTGATCAAAGATGTGAGGTGGACAGAGACAGAGTATCCATCAGCTGTCCATCGTTTGACGAATTGTAGGAGAATCAATGCGGTATGGAGTGCTATGTATGTCTGGGATAGATGGCTCTATAACAGCTACTTATGTTATGACATGCTCAACCAGCTGATTCTGTAATCTTTCTGTTTGACTTTCATTACGACAAGTGCAATCGAGCAATTGGTAATCCTCTGTTTGCTCGGTGCGGGCCTGTTTGTTGGACTAGAACCTGCCACTTTGCAATTGAACGCTTTGTTGAACCAGCACTTGTGTGGGCTTTAGAATATTCAATTCTAGTCTTGCGCCAGTTGGAATTGCCACACGTTTTGTGTCGAATTGAATATTCAATTCAATTCCAACGAAACCAGTTTTGTCAGCAAACTATTCCAAACCATAATTAAGCCCCATTCGAGAAGGCATATTATTACTATATCCCACCATCACCAAGAACTCGTCTTTAAATCAAAGATCCCACTCTGGTTCATTTGAGACATTGAAAATCGTTTCCTCAATTGGTTTCATCAACAGACGCTGTTCGCTTTGTCTTTTCTTTGGTTCAAACAAAAGAATGCTTTTCCGCAGTTGAATTTTCCAACGCATGACTCGACTCAATGAAATGTTTATGATTCTGATGGATGTAAATAACACGATGACACTCGGACCAGATCTCAGCCAGGATAATTATAATGGGCATGACTAACTATTACCGTTGCCACATGCTGACGTTGGAAGCCATCGCGTCTACCAATAAATAAATCGATGCTTGCCATTTGCCCACCAAAATAGACTCGACTCACACAATCGGGACGACCGATCGAATATGAGTTCTTAAAGGCGGAAAAATACTTAGTAATTGACCCACCTCGTCCAACAATTTGCTGTGCATCTTGTACGTTGGTGTGCGTGTGTGTGTGTGTGTGAGTGCCGATTAATCTATAGGTTTTACTTTTCCTTTTATCTGAAAGATCGCACAACTCTCGAACTCTTGTTTTCTTTCGATCGATCGAAAATGGAAAATCTATAAACGGATCGAGCAACGATTTGGTTTGCACTGTTTCGCGGGTCTTTAAAAACTGAACTATAGAGAAATTTTCAAAAATGCTCGGAAATATCAAGTAGGCAAGCAGACGAGCTGCTCCCACGCGGCGCTCCGTTGGCTGTTTAACCGTTACATATTCTAAACATATGCTCGCTCTTGCAATCTCTCTCATTCGGATTCTTTGCTATCTGTCTCTCTTTCTCGCTCTGTTTATACCCTTCGCATAGGTTTATATAATTTCAGGTAGAGGTTTGCACAGACCCTTCAATTTGCTGCACCAGTACATGTAAATTGTATGAGTATAGCAATATAATATTGCCAACAAAAATACCATTAATACAACTCGAAAGAAAATAATAATATAAATAATAATAAGCGATCGATCAGAAAACAATTCTTCGGGAGACAAACTCACTTTTTTCTCAATAAATTTTGCTCGATCGATTTGAAAGGGTATCCAATAGCTTTGTTCCCCGACAGCATTTGCATACCTTAGTCTCTCTGTTGTTTTCGCTCTGCTTGGCTGTGGCTCTCTCACTGTTAGATAGCAGACTTAATGCTTCTGGTGTGCTGTTACATAGCAGAGGAGCCCAATGTTAATGCTTCTGCTGTGCTTTTCCGTTTCTGTTGCTGTTTGCTCGATGTTTCTTTATTAACTTTAATGTGTATCTTCTCTGGGCATTGACTTTGATAACTAAATTGTTCTGGGTGCTTCTTCAATTCCCCCATTTACTATTCATATTGCTCCATCCTTCAGTTGATTCCGGTTTCCGTTAAATGACATGCATTCAAGTGCTCTTTCTTCTCTCCCTTTTCTGTGTGACACGTGTGCCGGGTGTGATCAGTCTGTTGTAGCCTCCCACATGTCTGTCTGTTTCAGTTACATCAGGTCTTACACATGCATATACTTATGTACATATGTATGTATGCATGCACAAATTTCTGTTGAATGCAGTTTTCACATGTTTGTCTGTATGGTTACATATGTATGTACATAAATATGTTTGGGTGGGCTTTTATTCGTTGTCTCTGCCTGTCTGGCTGTGCCTGTAACTGTGACTGATTTCTCAATCCAACATTTTAATGATGTACGCGAAATGTGTCTACTGCTAATTGCACACACTTAAAAAAGGGTTACAAATTATGAAAAGATACAATATTAAATGATTTAAGACTTAATGTGTAAGTTGGCTTTAATTTGCATGGATTATTAGAACAGATTAGGTTCATTTCCTTTTAGACTTACAAATATGTCATCCCCTCTACTGCTCTAATCTTATTAGTAATAACTTGTAAGTTAGAATAAGCTAATTCGTATTTGGTTTTTATAGCTTCCATGCCCCTTTTATTTAGAGTGTTCTTACCAAGATGGGTTATTGGAATCTCAGCCTAGCGTTACCAAGGTCAATGATGCAAACGAGTCTCTGAACTCTATTAAAATAGTTCATTAATTCTTGCGATATTCGAAAATGATAGAAATATTCATTGCTTATCGGGATTAAACTCAAAATCACCTCTAGTTAGGTTAGGTTAGGTTTATAGGGCTGCTCGACTGAAGTCGAGGTCACTCGGAGGCAAGTCTGCCCATTGTGATGCCCACACTCGTCACGGGATATTGTCCGGTGCCTAGGGAGGTTTCGCGAACCATCCCGAGGCCTCTATAAGAGCACCAGTTTCTCTAGAGGCATGTTTGCCAGGCTGTCCAGATCTTCGTAGAAGG